CAATATAAGGTATTGCTCACCAGCGTGTGAGTTCTGGCTGTCCCATTGGTCTTCTTCTTTTGGCTCCGCGTCCACATTTTCACCGAATGCGTCAGGATAGGCATTTACTGTAAAACGTTGTCGCAGATACTGGATCTACGCCTTCTTGTCGGCTGGCTCGCTGCAGTGGGTTTCTACGTGGCGGTATAGCTTTTGCACGCAGCTGCGTTTGTGCGAGACGGGATGGTTGCTGAGGTAACTCAGGATGCGAGAGGTGTTTGTCGTCTTCCTGTAAACTATTGTTTTAATTTCCTTACCATCTTTTCTGCACACCAGCACGTCGCCGGGCGGCAACTGGCAGTCTTTTTTTCCTCCATCCTAAACTGGATGTCGGGGAAAATCGAGTTCAGATTCTCTGTGAAATCCCCAATCCTGTCTCGACGAATGATGACAAAAATGTGTCATCAATATACCAGAGCCACAACAGTGGTCGATAATTTTCGACAGCCAGTGCCTCCAGTCGCTGTAGTATTTCCTCGGCAAGCAGGCCAGATAACGTATGCGTAATCTTTGTGTAAGCTTTCATATTAGCGGGATTCGTCTGGAAGTAGGCACTCGCGTATGCGACTTAAAAAAACTTTATTCGTTTTAAATCAGCGTCATTCATAGGCACGCGTCATGAATAGTGCACCGCCGACCGGCTCCGGATCTGCGTCCGGTACACTATCACGTGAGATGATGTGGTATGTTAACGCGATAAACGGTTCTTTATTGACGTTGCAATGTTTAGATTCGACCATTTTGAAGCTCAGGTTTTCGGCTTACATGGAAGCTTATACCACAAGTTCTAAGGTGGATTTATATATGGCAGCTCAATACATGTCCACGCATTGGCCAAAGGACTGAGTATCAGAATGATTGAGGTTTAACCAATCATGTATAAGTTTGCGTAAAGTGTGTAAAATTTCGAATCAGAGCGTTCTGATCATTTGCGTCTTTGTTTTCTGATTCTGTGCATGTCTGATTTTGGACGCACAAGGATACTAAACAAAGGTAAAGTGTTGGCGAGCCATATCACGCTAGCCTGGCGACTCTCGGAATTAGCGTTCAGAATCATCACATAGCACATTTTCGGTATTATTTTTTCTATAAAAATGTAATGAAATGGCAAAGAAGGTTCCGCAATTGAGTTAAATTAACAAGATTAAACTATACAATTTTCTAAAATGCTTACTTGTCAACACCGTTTTCTTTGTAGGAGCTGAGGTACCAGCCCTTAAGGTTGGTTGTAAGTGGTCCCCGGAACTCTGGAAAGTCAAGAAAATACTTCTGACCCGCGGCGAGTGTCTCTTTGAGCTTTATGACGAACCATTGTCGACTTTTGTCAAAAGTCACGGAGTATATCCTGTTAGATGTTTCGCCCTCTTTATAAACCTAAATGCACAGGAGAATCGAGGAGGAATTTCATGCAATAGTAGAGAATGTACTGGAAATTCAAAATTGAATTTACCGGACATATATGCATCACCATTTAGGAAGTCCTGAAAGAATAAAAACTAAAGTTTCTTTTGACAATACAGGCAATAATCGGTTTTTTATGATTTTAAACCTATCTCCAAGGTTATAGTTAAAATAGAATTCAGTTCCTCGACGACCAAAAAGTGGTATATGGTTGTCTTGGAAGTGTCTTTACTAAAATATTGTTGTACGTCTACAGACCAGCAAGAACTGGCCGTTAAAAGGTTTATGTAA